AACAGATAAATGTCTTGAATAAATGAGTGGTTACTGGAAGCTTAGGACTGAGGCCGTCGGTTGCTTGAGGTGTCAGAGCAGGCACTGGGACGCAGAGCTGTCTGCCTGCAGGAGCATCCCTTGTCACTGCAGGTGGATCCGCTCATTTAGTTATTGATTCATTCCTTTGTCTATTTTTCATCCATTGGCCGAGCACTGAGCCCTGTTGTAAGCACTTTACACGTCTCCTGGCACCTCATCTTCTACCAGCCTTTACAGCGGGTACTAGGGTTTATGCTCCTTTTAGGGAGGAAGAAATGAGAACAATCTGAGAATCATTTGCTCAGAGAGTAAAGTCACTTGCTCCAACTCAGAATCCAAACTCAAGTCTGTCTGGAGCCTTTGCCCCGTCACTGTCCCCGGGGGCCCCGTATCCACCACCCCCAGCCTGGAAATCAAATTTGTCCAGCTTCAGGAGACACATCCACCCTGGCTCCCTCCCAGAGAACAAACAGCTCCCCACCAGCCTCCCTCCCCCGGCCTCCTCCTCCAGCCAGGCCAGTTCTTCGACTCACCCTCCTGGTGCCACTCCCTGCGCCGTCTGCAGAGCCGGCCAGTCTCAGAGGAACTCCAAGGAAAACGCCTTTCCTAACCCCTTAAGCCTCAAGAAGATCCCCTCTGAGCTTCCAGGCTGCTGGAGCCACCGCCGTTCCGGCCCGTTTCGGGTAGCCCACGTTTGCGTCACCTCCTCAGTCACCCTGGGAGCTTCCTGAGACTCGGGCTTGGGGCAGTCCCCTTTACTGGAGTTTGGCCACCCTCTCATTTGCAATTGTCGTTGTCAACGCCAACATCATGACATCTTCATAGCTCTCTCCAGCCTCGTCTCCTCTAGCCAGCCGCACCCCACCCGCCTCCCCAAGGTGTTCCCTCGGCCTGAAATCCTCTCTGCATTCCTAGCTTTGTCTGAAAATTCAGGTCAAGTCTCCAGTGCCACCTCCTCAGAGAGGCCATCCCTGAGCACCTCACCCGAAGTGGCCACACCTGCCTGCCCCTCAGTCACTCCATCTCTTTGCCTTTGTTTTATTTCCTCCACAGGGCTTACCACAATTGGAAAGTCTTATTCACATGAGTGTGCCTACTTGTTTATCTTCGTCTCCCACCACACCCACTAGAATAGCAACAACACAGGGCCAGGGTTTTGTCTGTCCAGCCTCAGAACGTGCTTGGCACACAGTAGGTGCTTGAGTATTTGCTACTACACAAGGTCGAGACTTTGCATATGCTACTCCCCAAGCTTAGAAGATCATTCCTTGCCACATCTTCCTTGGCAAACTCCTATTCATCCTTCCGAACCCTATCCAGTTATCACTTAATGAGGGAAAATCTTCTTTGCCTCACATGCCCACCACAAAGCCAGAATAAAGGTCTCCTCTGGGGACAATCAATATCCTTTTGTCACCTCCATTAGTTCACGTATCACTGCTAATTGCTACTGTGGGTGCCACAGGGTCTGTTTCCCCAATCAGGCTCTCTTCTTGAGGGCAAAGAAAGAGGCACAAATTAAGTCTCACTGACCATCTATTGAATGAATACATTAATTAACAAACATGTAAGTAAACATATCTTCTGAGACCCAGCTCCCATCTAATTTACTTGCCCTGTCCCCAGCAACCTGCCATATCTCCCATTTCCCGTGAATTTGACCCCCCTGCTTTGTCCTAAGAATTCATCAGCAAATCCTACAGCTGAGGAATGGGGTAGGGGATATGCATTGGGAGAGGAGGATGAGGCAGGAGATAGGGGTGGTTTCAGATATGATACACGGAGGATCTTAGCTTAAGGTGCTGCAGTGAGAATTCTGTTTGGTTCCTGGGAGCTTGCAATGGAGAGGATAGTCCAGTCCACCGAGGACAAAGCTTTCCCAGTTCGGGGACAGAGGCAAACTCAGATCCACAGAGTCCTAAAGCTCACTCCATAAAAGGCACTGCACTATCGGTATGGGCAGGCATGGGATTGGAAAGGGGGCCGGGGACCCGGTTCCCCCTCGTGAGTCTCCAAGACCCAGATTTGCCGCCTGGGACTTACTGAGTCAGACTATGTGGGGTGTGAGTCTCCACTGGCACTTGGGAACCACGTGTTCCAGCTTGGAGAGAGGGAGGGGCCTCCTCTGCGGCCAGAGAAGGAGGAAGGAGGCCCTGGGCCCTGACGAGAGGGCGGAGGAGGCTCGGTTTCGGCCTCACCTGCTGCTCCAGACCACAGAGCAGCGGGTTGTGGGGGAGCCTGCGCTGGCTGCACTCTCCCCCTTCAGACCCACCCGTCCTCCTTCAGACCCAGGACCCCTGGCCCCTGACTCCCCCTGAACGCCTCTGTGAGAGCACTTCTCCACCTGCACCTGGAGCAAGGGCCTGGCTCAGCCAGCACTGCGTTTATCTTGGCCTTGAGCCACTGTAACCTTGGGCTAGTGGCCTCCCTACTCAGCCTCTGTCTTCTCTCTCCGTGGGGTACCAATCTGCCTCACAGAGAGTAACCGGTCTGCTCCTTCCCTCGGACCCCAACCGAGGCTGGGCCAAGCTCAGAAAACATGGCACGGAGGGACGCGTTACAGACACAGAGTGACAGAAGCTGGACACAGGGAAGCGCAGGACGCTGTGCCTGCTGCACAGGAGAGAGCCGCTCGCCCAGCACGTCGGTGTGTCCAGCCGCGCACAGCACCCCCGCTGGCTGGTCAGCCCTCCCCTCCGTGGCTCAGGCAGCTCCAGGCCTGGAACACTCCTCCCTCATCCTCTAGGCCACCTGGGGCTGCCAAACTTGCCCTTCAGGTTTAGCCCTGGCCGCCCCTCCTCCTCCAGGAAGCCTGCCCTGACCCTCGGAGTGGCCACTCCTGGGCTTCTGAGGCACCCTTAGCAACTGCCATTATAGTACCTGTGGAATGAAAACCTATCTGTGTGGTTGCTAACACTCACCTGGCATTTCCTCTTCTCCGGTTACTGCACTGAGAGCTCCCATAACCTCCTTTGATCCTCCCAGTGCTGTGATCCCCATTTTAGAGTTGAGGATCTGGGGCACAGAGAGGCTAAGTAATTTGCCCAAGGCCACACAGCTAGAAAGGGGCCAGGTCACGAGGTGTTGGTGCAGAGTAACAACAAGGGAACAGGGTCTAAACTGTATGGCCTGGGTTCAGCTGTCTCCACCCGTTATTAGCTGTGTGGCTGTAGACAAACAACTTGCATACGCCTCAGCTTCCTTGTGTGTATAACAGGGGTAATTGAGCCCATTTCATAGGATGCAGTGAGGTTTTTAGAAACATACCCACACATACACTGCACTCAGAGGAAGACAGAAGCACACAATAATTGTTACCAGAATTATTACATGGCAAAGCCAGGACTCGAACCCACATCCACGTGGGCTCTTTGCCATCCCATCACAGAGGTGGTTATTTTTCTTTCTCTCCATTGTTTCATCCCTGTCGATCTAGGGCCAGGGTGTGCCCTCTCTGATTTCCAGCCTCACTTAGTGTAGACTGTGGGGTCAACATGTGCTCAATGAAGCAATGAAGCAATAGTGCACCAAATGCAAAAACTCATTCATTCAACCCGTGTCACTCCAGTCCTTACTGTATACAAGAGCCGATTCTGCATGCTGCAGGTAGACTGGGGGACTGAGCATACAATGGTCTTTGTCCTCGGTAAGCTTACATTCTAATGGAGGAGACATAAAATAGACAAAATGAACAGATAACACAGTGTGTTAGATGGTGATAACTTTCAGAAAAACAAAGTGTTGGTCTGAGGGGGAGAGATTATGAAGGAGGGGAGAGTAAGGGCTGCTGCATGTTAAATAAGGTGGGCAGCCAGGCCTCTCTGAGGTGGTGCCATTGTAGCAAAGACCTGGAGAAAGTGAAGGAGCAAGTCCTGAGGATATCTGAGGAAAGAGCGGTCCAGGCAGAGTACAGCAAGTGCAAAGGCCCTGAGGCAGAACGGCATCCAGGTGCTCAAGGAGCAGCAAGGAGGCCATGTGCTGCAACAAGGAAAGAGATAAGGTAGAGTAATATCCCTTTTGGCCTTGTGGAAGGCCCTCTTTTATCCAGAGAAACAGGGAGCCATTGAAGGATTTTGAGAAGGAAGTGATGTGAGCTGACTTAGGTATCTCTGGGGCCCCTGCATGGAGACTGGACTGGGAGATGAAGGCAGCAGGGAGACCACTCACTGCATGTGAAACCTTGAGCAAGTCTCTGAACCCTTATAGGCCTCAGTTTCCTCATCTGTGAAATGGAGACACCCAACATGCACCTGACTGGGGTGGGAGAAGAAGTGATGTCTATAATTTATTTAGCAAGGACCATGGCACAGGGGAAGTTCTCAAAAGGAGATTTTATGCCTGAGGAGCCTGTCAACTTCCATGATGTCCTTGAAGCCCTGCTGGCCATTAAGTCTCACCTCTTATCATAGGGAGTTATTCAGGGAAATTTCCAAAGGAAGAGGGAAGGGGAGGGGGTGGGAGCGGAGGGCACTGGTGAAGACAGGAACCCCAGACAGTAGGTGTGCGCAGAGCAGGGATGGACACCAGCCTTAGACACGGAAAGATGGATGGCCCTGGGGTCAAAGCCCACCCTTCCACATGGACTATGAACAAGTGGAAATTAACTTTGCAGAGGTATCAGGAGAATTCAAAGGGGGGATTCCTGATGTGTGCAGGAGTGTGACACCAGATTACTGTTGTGATCCTGCTAGTGCTGGGATCGAAACACTTGTACTCTGGCTGCCCTGAGGACGTCCCAGCCCCCACCCTGGGTCTTTCTGCCAGCCCCGCCCAGGGGCCACTCCAGCTAGGCTGGACCAGGTGAGTGCTCAGGTATGCGGAGGCGGGAGGGCCTTGGGAGGGAGCAGGAAGGAGGGGCCGTGTCTAGAAGGGAGAGAAGAGGTCAGAGCCTCCCGTCGGACAGAGCCTGGCAGCCGGTGAGGAGGGGACCCAGGGAAGAGATCTGGGTCCTAGCGAGGAGGGACTGGAGGTGAGGACTCCTGGGTCTTGGGGAGGAGGAGCAAGGGGCTTGGACTCCTGAGTCCTGACACAGGAAAGGCTGGGGAAACTCAGCTCTAGTCCCGAAGAGGTAAGGGCTGGAAGACCGGACCCCAAGACCTGAAGGAGGACTGTAGGGGCCACAGGGGCTGAAGAACTGGATGAATTGTTCTCTGAGGAGTCGTGGGGTCAAAACCCTTTGGTTCTAAGGGACAAGGAGCTCTGAGCCTGGACTCCTGGGCCCTTGAGAAGGTAAAGGCTGGGAGACAGGATCCCTGGCAGAGGAAGGGAAATAGAGCACATGTAGTTTTTCTGGGAGCTGAGTACACGGATCACTGAGGGACTGAGGGCTGTGGGCTGTGTGCTAAGTGTGAAAGAGGAGGGGCTGGGGGCCTGGACTCCCGGGTCTGAGGGAGAAGGGCCTGAGGGCCCGGATTCCTGGTCTAAGGGCTGAGGACCTGGGGCCAGAAATCCCGGGTCTGAGGGAGGAGGGGCTGGGGCCAGGAAGCATAGGTCTTGCAGTCAGGTCAGCCCTCACCTCTTTCCTGGCTCCCAGGGCTCCAGGCGGTGGGAGCTCCCCATTCTCAGCATCATGAGCGCCACCGGTGGGTAAGTACCCCTGTCCATCAGGACCCTCCCTCAGCCCCCCGCTTTCACCCACACCCACAGGTGGCATTTACAGCAGCCTGGGCATGGACACTCTGCAGACCGCCTGAGCTTTCTCCCTCCTGCTCCCAAGCAGGCAGACCTGGATTCAAATCCATGTGCTAACAGTCTTTCAGCAGTCGTGTGACCCTGGCCACACCCTATCCGTGAAACAGGGACAATTTTGAGAGCTTGACAGGATAAGGCACGTATAGGACTTAGCAGAGAATCAAACCTGCAGCAGGTGTTCAACTCATGAGACCTGCTGTGGCTGTTGTTGTTATATTATTAAATATTGACCCTTTGCTGAAAAATTAGATCTGTTTATAATGAAGGCTTGAGTCTCTTGGAGTGAACAGGGAGAAGGACAAAAAGAGAAGCCTGGGAGATGCACAGGAGATGTAAGGTAGTGAGTTCTCTAGCTCAGGGGGTAATCAAATTGTAGGGGGATTTGACTGACAGCAGTAGGATGAGGAGCAGAGGTTTGAATGAAAGGGTTGCTCATCATCTCTCATCTTGATCCACCCCCCCCCACCCCACCAAGCTCTGAGCTTCTGTAATTTCTGTGGAAATGGGGACTCAAGAATTCTTGGAGAAAGTGATCTTGAAGAGGAGGTTGAGGGCAGGGGGAGAGAGAGAAGGATTTGACTGAAAAGATCCTGGCCTATGGGGGTAGGAACGGAAGAAGATACTCCCAGTACAACTGCTGTTGTGAAAAAATCCCTTTTATTGAGTAACTACTGCATATTAAGTCCGTTGCATCATCAAAACAGCAACAGTTTTTGAGGCTGCAAAACACTTCAGCTGCATCATCTCATTGAATTTGCTCAACAGCCCTACCAGATGGAGGCTATAGGGTAACTAACCCCTGTCTTACAGAAAGGGAAACTAAGGCAGGAGAGATGGTCTCCTACCCAAGATCTTATGGCAAAGCAGTAGCTGACAGGGAATTCAAACCCAGATCTGTGTGACAGTAGAGACCAGACTCCCCACCACCACCGAGCACCACTGCCATTCTTATTTTATTAAAGTCCAGCTCTAGCCCTGCCCTCCCCTGCTCAGAACCCTCCATGGCTCCCATTGCCCTCACAACGAAGTGGTGCAATTCTGCTTGGCACTCAAAACCCCCCATGATCTGCCCCCCAATTCCCACAGCCCCTCTCACCCCTCTTTTCCTTCACTAGCCCAGAAGCTTCCCCCAAACGGAGTGCCAAGTCCATCTATGGTGAGTTTAGGGGCAAGGAAACCCCAGGCAGAGAGAAACTAGGTTTAAGGGAGGAGGTAACTGAGGAGCTGGATTCCTGAATTTTAGGAGGGAGGGGGCTGGGGGCCTGGACCTTTCTGTCTTGGGGGGCAGGGCTGGGGGTCTGGTCTCCCTGGTCTCCTGCATCCATTTCTCCTCACCCTGCAGAACAGAGGAAGCGTTATTCCACAGAGGTTATGGCCGATGTTTCCCAGTATCCAGTCAATGTGAGTCTGGGGTCTGTGTTGCCACCGGGAATCTTGTGGGAGGAAGGGCGGGCCTGAGGTGATGGGATGTTGAAAGCAGTTGGACCTCCAAGCGAGAAAGAACTTGGGAAACTCACTTTGCTCATCTGCCAAGTGAACTTCTGCCTTGCCTCAGATGTGGGCATTCAGTGGAGGAACTCAGTTCCACTTGAATCTGCCAACTTTTCCCCTGAACCAGTTCTTGTGCCGGGTTGGACCACAGGGACAAATCAGATGCAATCCTGGATGGGTAGGGGTCAGACAAGGTCCAGAGGTATCAGCAAAAGGTCCCAGGTGCTCTAATGGAGGTAAAGGTGCTTAGAAGGGACTAGATAAAATCCAGACAGTCCCCTGCCTTCCAGGAGCCTTTAGCTAGAGCCAGGTGCTAGTAATTCAGAAGGAAGACACAAAGGACACTGGGAAGAGGGGGAGCAGGTGATCAGAGAAGGTTCCCAGAGGAGGTGTGGTTAGTCGCAGGCTGGAGGGCCGATTCCAGGGAATTTTGAGCACACCTGACTTCATCCTCGGACTCACTGCTTTCTCCGTGTCCCCTTGCCAGCACCTGGTGACCTTCTGCCTGGGTGAGGAGGATGGCGTGCACACGGTGGAGGACGCCTCGCGGAAGCTGGCCCTCATGGACAGCCAAGGCCGCATCTGGACCCAGGAAATGCTACTGCGCGTGTCTCCCAAACACGTCGCGCTTCTCGACCCGGACTCCAAGGTGCCACGGGGCGCGCGGGTGGAAGGAGTGGCTGGACTGAGCTGGCCGAGGCGTGGAGAGCTTGGCCCTGGAGACATCAGGGGTCTGAGTGTGAATCATGACTCCTGCACGTCCTTCCTCTGGGAACTTTGGCAAAGGACCCCTCCCCATTTTGAGCCCCATTGGCCTCATTTATTAAACAGGGTCGTTATCCCTAAACTCGAGGGGTTTTCCTGTGCAGTGCCTGTGCCCGCTGGCACTGCTGTCGCCGCTTAGGCGTATCCTTGGCTCCAGGCCTCAGTTTACCCGCTGTCCCACCCCGCAGGAGGAGCTGGAGTCGTACCCGCTGAGCGCCATCGTGCGTTGCGACACGGTAATGCTGCCGGGCCAGAGCTGCTCACTGATGCTTCTCGTGTGCCAGGACTCCGAGCGCACGCAGCCCGACGTGCACTTCTTTCAGGGCCTGCGTCTGGGGGTGAGTGGGCCGGAGTCGCGGCCACCTCCCAGGACCGGGCTGGGACGCTGCAGATTCCAGGGGCGGAACTGGAACTGGGCGGAGTCCGGGCCCGGGCCGCCGGCCCGGCGGGGCCTTTAAGATTGGAGGCGTGGTCTGGGGCAAAGGCGGGGTCAGGGCCAGCTGAGGGGGCGTGACCTGGAAAGAAATTCCGGAAGGGAGGCGGGTTTGAGGACAGGTTGAAATAGGGTTGAGAAGGCACGTGAGGGTGGAATGGAGACGGAGGCTAAAAGCTCAGGCAGAATGTGGACAGAACAGGAAAGAGAGGGTCTGAGTGTGGTCTAGGGGCGAGGCGCCACCTGGACGAGGCCTGTGGTTGGAGAGTGACATAGGTCAGGGACAGTTTTAAGGCCAAGGCATGAGTCCAGGGCGTGGACGTACGTGGATGCTGTGCGTGAGCGATGACTGCACGTGGTCTGGGGCGGAGCCAAGGACTCGAGCCCGAGCGCCACCTGGGGTGGGGTGGGGTGGGGTCGTGGCTTAATTGGCGTGATTGGCAGGTGGAGCTGATCCGAGAGGACATCCAGGGGGCTCTTCACAGCTACCGCTCGGGCCGCGGGGAGCGCAGGGCGGCGGCGCTCTGGTAAGGGGGCTGGACTGGCAGCAGGGAGAAGAGCGGACCAGCAGGTCTCTGGGAGGCCGTTTTCCCTCTTTGGGCCACAGTCTCCCATCCGAGAAATCTGTTGATACCATTGGCCTAGAGCAGAGCGAGTTTTAAATGGGGTCAAACAAACCGAGCTTCAGATCTTCCCTCTACCTCCCAAACAGGTGTACCCCTCCTCACAGGAGTCCTCAGTTTCGCCTCCGTCTGCCTCAGTTTCCCTCCTGAGAGCTCTCCCCGCCCCCAATGTCTCACCCAGCTTTCTCCCTACCATTCTGATCCTAGGTTTGACCAACCCTTTGGGCCACAGTGTTTCCGATTTAAGCCCAAAATTTCTCCCCTCCCTGGACCCCTTGGTGCGCCCAGCCTCTGTTTTTCCCCTTCTCCCTCCGCAGGGCCACGAGAAAGGAGCTGCAGCTCCGTTCCTTGCCCGCTGCGGAGACCCCTCCCCTGCAGCACCGCCCGACAGTCCGCGCTGCGGTCAGCTGGGTGGAGCCGGCCGCGGGCTGCGGGCGACCCCAGGTGGATCCCATCCCAGAAGCAGAAGAGGTGCGGAGGCCCGCCCGGGCGGAGGCCTCCAGCAGCGCTGACCCGGCCTCCCGGGACCTGGGCCCCCATGGCCCCGAACTAGCCAGTCTGCAGGCGGAGCGGGACGTGGTGAGCTGGGCGGCCTTAGGGCTGGGGGCGGGATTGGCTGCAGGTGTGACTCTTCTGTCAGGGGGTGGGCCTTGGTTCTAGGGACCAGGTCAGACTCCTGGGGGTGTGGCCGGCTTTAACTGAATCGAGGCAGGATCAGGCATCAGAGCGCGCGGCCTGGCATGAGTGTGTCTAAGCGTCCTTGGTTTGAGAGGGCTTCAGCAGGAGAATGAGGGTCCAGGATTCAGGAGTCCCAAGCATCCCCCTGCTCTGCTCCCCCAGGACATCCTGAACCACGTGTTCGACGACGTGGAGAGCTTCGTATCCAGGCTGCAGAAGTCAGCGGAGGCGGCCCGAGTGCTGGAGCACCGGGAGCGCAGCCGCAGGACCCGGCGCCGGGAGGCGGGGGGTGAGGGGTCCCCCCAGTGGCAATCCTGAGCATCCCCTCCCTGTCCACTCCCCAATATCCTCCCTCTCCCCAGCGGCTCCCCTCGCACCCCCTGCCGGTTTGACTCCCTATGGCTGTCTCACTGGTCTTTGCCTCTCTTTGACCCTGTCTGATGTTGTCTGCATGTCCTCCATCCCCGCGCCTGCCTCCTACCCACAGAGGGCCTCCTGACGCTGCGGGCCAAGCCGCCCTCAGAGGCCGATTACACCGACGTGCTTCAGAAAATCAAGTACGCCTTCAGCCTGCTGGTGAGGACGCGTCCATGCCGGGGCGTCAGGGGGCGAGGGGAATAGCAAACCTGACCTGTCCGCACACTGACACCGGCGCCTCCCCGCTCCGCAGGCCCGGCTGCGCGGCAACATCGCCAACCCCTCCTCCCAGGAGCTGCTGCACTTCCTGTTCGGACCTCTGCAAATGGTGAGACGCCCCGGCCTCAGCCCCCAGGGCCCCCTGCAGCAGGAGGGCTCGACGTTAAGGAAGTGTGATGGCGTGCCCCCTCCCGTGCCCCTGCCAGATTGTGGACGCTTCGGGCGGCCCCCAGTTCGCGAGCGGCGTGCGGCGGCCGCATCTGACTTCCGAGGCTGTGGCGCTGCTGCGGGACAACGTCACCCAACGTGAAAACACGCTCTGGACCTCGCTGGGAGACTCGTGGACCCGCCCGGGGTAAGGGACCGGACTGAGAGTCGGGGGGCGTGGTGATTGGAGGGGCGGGGTTGGGAGTCAGGACACGTGGTGGTTGGAGGGACAGGACTGGGAGGTAGGAGGCGTGGTGATTTAGGGGCGGGGTTGGGAGGAAGAGGTGGGACTAGGAGGGAAGGTAGTTGTGCGTGCGGTTAGGGTTCGGGTGTCGCCGAAGAAATTGAAGATGAGACAGGACTGTGTCAAATGCCAGGATACGATTGGAGGAAACACCAGTAACTAGGGTGTAGGAGAGGTTTAAGACTGTAGGATGTATATAGACGCTTTGCTGTCGATGGTGGCATGTGGGCGGTCTGCTGAGCCTCAGACAGCAGCTGTCCCCTGTGGTGGTGGTATGGCGGTGCCCATGGTTCTCTCCTAGGCAGGCCTGTCACCTCCAGGTGGTGTTGTAATAATTTGTACCCAGGACCTGTTTTTTCAATCCTTCACCTTTCCCCGAGAAGTGTGTTGTTTTCTGTTTTAAAAAGTTGTGAAATAAATCTTTGTATTTTTAACACCTTTATTGTATAATTCCTGTACAATAAATTACCCATATTTCAGATGTAGAATTTGATGAATTTTAATAGCTGTATACACCTATGAAACCACCACCACAATCAAGATAGCTAACATCTTCACCCCCCCCCAAGAGGTGCAAAATTTGAACTTTGATTTATCCCTTCCCATTCCCTTTTCCCCTGGCAACCATAAGTTTGTTCTCCATATCTGAGTCTTTTTCTGTTTTGTAAATAAGTTCACTTGTGTCCTATTTTTAGATTCCACATATAAGCGATACGATGTTTTTCTTTCTCTTTCTGGTTTACTTTACTTAGAATGATGATCTCCAGGTCCATCCATGTTGCTGCAAATGGCATGATTTTCTTTTTTACGACTGAGTAGTATTCCATTACATATATCTCCACATCTTCTTTATCCAGTCATCTGTCGATGAACATTTAGGTTGCTTCCACGTCTTGGCTATTGTAAACAGTGCTGCTGTGAACACTGGGGTGCATGTGTCTTTTCGAATTATGTTTTTCCCTGGATATATGCCCAGGAGTGGGACTGCTGGATCATATGTTAAGTCTATTTTAGTTTTTTAAGGAACCTCCATAGCTGTGCCAATTTACATTCCCACCAGCAGCATAGGAGAGTTCCTTTTTCTCCACACCCTCTCGGGCATTTATTGTTTGTGGGCTTTTTAATGATGGCCATTCTGACTGGTGTGAGGTGATACCTCATTTTAGTTTTGATTTGTATTTCACTAACAATTAGTGATGTTGAGTTCTTTTCGTGTGCTTGTTGGCCATGTGGATGTTTTCTTTGGAGAGATGTCTGTTTAGGTCTTCTGCCCATTTTTTTTATTGTGTTGGTTATTTTTTTTAAATCATAGGGCTTTTTTTTTGTAACATGATAAAGACTGAACCAGAACTCCAACCCGAACAAAAGGCTGGGCTTAGGGGAATGGGGTGGGGTCTTACCGAGGGGGTGGGCTTAGGAAAGTTTTGGCCTGTGGTTTTGGAAAGGGCGCAGGCTGTGTGCTTGGAGGCTGAGAGCTTCAAGGTGGTAGAAGCAGAGCCAGAGGCTGGGCTTAAGGGAAAGGGGCAGGATGTATGTAGCCAGAAACCCAGTTTGGAATCAGGTGAGATTCAGAGGCTGGGGCACAGCATGAGTGGAGTCGGTATTTACAAGTATAGTTGATGTCCTGGGTGCAGCTTAGAGGCAGGGGCAGGGCTTGGCAAAAAGGGGCAAGGTTAGAGTTGTTGGAATAGAACAAGGCTTAAAGGAAGGGGGGAAACTTCGTGAAGTTACTGACAGGGCTAAGTCTGGGGCCAGACCAGGATGCCTGAGCCCTTGGCCCCTCCTTGGCCACAGGCTGGAGCTACCCCAGGAGGAAGGACCCCCATACAGACCTGAGTTCTGCAGCGGCTGGGAGCCCCCAGCCACTGACCCAGAGGGCGGCACCTGGGATGACCCAGTAGAGAAACAGCTACAGCACGAGCGGCGGCGCCAGCAGGTGAGGCTACGTCTTCAACCAGAGCAGCCAGCTCCCCTGGGCGACACGGGTGGCCAGGTCGGGAATTCTGGGGGGCAGACGTGGCCCCACCTGACCCACTGCTCTTTTCCCCTGCAGCAAAGCGCCCCCCAGGTTGCTGTCAATGGGTGAGTGTTAATGGGTGAGAGCTGGGTCTGGTGGGGTCCTGGTGGGGTTCATCCTGGGGGCTCCCAGTGCTAACTCCGCCCCCCTTTTTTCTTTTTCCTTTTGTCTTCCTGATTCTTCAAAGGTGGGTGAGGTGGCACTGAGACAGGGGCCCGGGCTGGGAGAGGGGGGAGGATCAGGGAGGGAGGGAGAGGGGACCCAGACTTCTGAGTCCGAGGGAGGAGGGAACTGGAGGCCCAGATTCCAGGGTCTAAGGGAGGAGGGTGCTGGGAGTGGGTAAAGTCTGAGAGGGACCACTGGGTCACCAGAGGTCTGGAAGAGGGCAGTATGGTTTCCCAGGGCCTGGGAAGCTACCTACCTGGGTTCCTATGAGAACTGAGCCCTGGGTGTTGGCGGCAAGAGGTTAGGAATTGGACAGTTGGGTTTCAGAGTAAGGCTCAAGTCTGGTGCTTGGGACCTCGGAGATCCAGGGGAGTAGGCTTGGGACTTAAAGGGCCAAGGGGCAGGTTTCTGGGGAAGTTAGAAGGTGGTGGTATCTCTGGGCTCCTGAGAGAGGCAAAGACTGGGCTCTCCCAAGGCTCTAAAGCAAGTGTCTCCGTCCCTGCAGGGTGTCAGGCTGGGGACTTTTAGGAGGTAAAAGGTCAAGGAAATTAAAGCTTAAGAGCTGGACTCCTAGGTCTCTGGAGGAGGAGAGAGCTGAGAGTGCAAGTTCATGGCTCCAGCAAGTAGTGGGGGTGCAGACTCTTGAGTCCTAGGGGAAGAAGGGCCTAGAGGAGCCTGGACTCCCTGGGCAAGTCAGGGGCAGGTGGGAGGGAAGCTGCGTGGCATGAGAAGAGACCAAAGCAGCAAGGCTGGAGGAGCACAAGGGGGTCTGGGTGAGGGCCCAGGCAGAGCCTCAGCAGGGACAGCGTGCTGGGAGCTGCCAGCCCCGCACAGGGGGCGCCTCGGCCCTGAAGACCCCCCTCTCCCTTGCACAGGTAGGCCTGAGGTGCCTTTTACTCGGGTGTCAGAGCTGCCTGGTCTCGCGGACTCCCCCTTCCCTGCTTATGACAGCCCTGGCTTTTAACTGACCTTTTTCGCACTTCAAGTTCTTTGCAGGGAAAATGGAAACAATAACAATCCCTCCCTGAAAGAGTGAGAAGTCTGTGAGGTTGTAGGGCTAGCAGTTAAGAGCTCAGGGTCATGGCCGCACTCAGGTTCACGACCAGGTGTGTGCAGGTGGAACAGAGTTACTCAGGACAGGAGCTCTGGGCCAGCCTGCCCGGGGCCCCAGCCTACACCTCTTTTTCGCTCTGTGACTGTTACATCACTGTGTCGTTTTACATCACTGTTCCTCTCCTGTAAAATGGAGATAATAGGGCCTCTAGAGGAACTAGGGGGTCCAAACTCATGATTCAACCAAGGGATGTCTCTAGTATCAAACCAGCTGATAGATGTAACAGACTTTGAACGGCGTCTGGCATGTAATAAGTACTAGATAAGCGTTCGCTACTGTTCTTACTATGGTTATGTGTTGTCATTATGCTTGACCTCAGTACACAGTGGTGCTCAGTAAACAGCAGCTGTCTCTAGCTGTGTGATCTGGGACAAGTGACTTTATTTCTCTCAGCCTGAATGTTCTCATCTATACCATGGAGCTGATGCTAGTACCCATATCATGTGCTTACAGCACGGTGCGTGCAAGGAGCACAGTGTATTCAAACTGTTATTCCCATTTCAAACCTCGGTTAACAGTATTAACCTGGCTGCTGCCTTGACCCCCTGCTTGGCTTTAACCTCAGCTCACACAAAACCCTACAGCCCAGAGCAGCAGGGCTGGCTGCCTCCTTACCCACAACCCTCCCCCTTCTCCTCAGTCACGGAGACCAGGAACCAGAAGCTGAGCCCCAGCTGGAGCGGGAGCCGGCCAGGAAGTGGGTCCTATGTAATTACGACTTCCAGGCCCGCAACAGCAGCGAACTGGCCGTGAAGCGGTGGGACCTGTTGGAGGTTAGAGTGATGGGGGGCTGAAGGGTTGGAGTTGACCCAGCCCTAGCTGCAGACACAGCCTCTGAACCCTTCCCTCTACCTCTTCCAGGTCCTGAATGACGAGCGCAAGTGGTGGAAGGTTCGGGACCAGCGCGGGCAGGAGGGTTATGTACCCTATAATATCCTGACACCTCACCCGGGGCCGCCGGGGGGCCACAGCCAAAGCCCTGACTGCAGCCTGGTGAGCCAGGGCAGACTCCTGGGACTTGCGGGAAGAGGGGTTAGGGGTCAGATCCTGTGTCCTGGGAACAAGGGGCATGGGGAGTAAGGGGTCAAGGTCACCGGCAGGGAGGTGGCTGAGGATTCAGAAATTTACCTCCAGGAGGAGGGAGGGGGTCTCAGTCCTCTCTGATCCAGGTATTCTCCTCTTGCTCCCCTCTCTAGGAGAACAGTACTCCTCCTCCCGCCTCCGGATCAGCGCGGGCCCTGGCTCCCGCTCCCCCTCCGCCGCCGCCAGCCTTGGCTCCGGCTCCCTGTCCCCAGCCAGCACCGGCCCTGGCTTCTGCTCCGACTCGGTCCCCCCGGGGCAGCAGCGAGAGCCTCAACAACATGGACTCCAGAAAACAGGGTGAGTATTGGGGGCACCTCCTCGGTGAGCCGTTCTTGTCCTCGCTTTCCAGTCAGGGAAACCGAGGCTCAGAAAAAGTAAACGGACCCTCAACCCCATCACGAGGACACTGGAGGTTCCTTACCCAGTGAGCCCAGGGCCCTTCGCCCTGAGTCCCCCCTGCCTTCCGGTTTCCCGCTTGCAGAGAAATTCTCCCAGATGCTCTGTATCAACGAGGAGCTGCAGGCACGCCTGGCCAAGGGCCTCACGGGCCTTAGCCGTGCAGCCTTGGGGCCCCGCGCCCCGGAGCCGCAGCTCAGCCCGCGCTCCAGCGCCTCGGAGGTCCGTGCCTGGCTGCAGGCCAAGGGCTTTAGCTCGGGGTGAGTGTGGCGGGTGCAGGAAAGGGGACCCTGAGACATGGAAGCTAGAGGCAGAGCACCCTGATTGGCCGAGAGGGGGCAGACCACGGCGGGTGGGGGGCGGCTTAGTCGAAAAGGAGTGCAGCAATTAACGCCAGGCTCCGATTGGAGTCTCCAGGGAAGCCCCGCCTCCGTTTGAAGGCGGAGTGCAGCCCGGCCCCCTGCGCCATCCCCGAGGACGGCGCGCTGTGGTTGGTGGGTGGGGACTCAGGAGCCGTCCACAGCCCCCCAACCACCCAGCTTGAGAACTAGAATGCTGCTCTGATTGGACAAGGGGCGTGAAGTGGCTGGTGGGGCTTAGGAGGATTACGCTGTGACTGGCCCTCGCTGCCCCTGCTCAGGACCGTTGCCGCGCTGGGCACGCTGAGTGGTGCGCAGCTATTCTCGCTGCAGAAGGAGAAGTTTCGGGAGCTGAGCCCCGAGGAAGGGGCGCGCGTGTTCAGTCAGGTCTCGGTGCAGCGTGCGCTGCTGGAGGTGAGCCGGCACGCTCGTCCTGGGCCTGGTCCGGGGAGGGCACCAAGGGCTCAGACGCCAAGGTCCTGATTTCCACCCCACCCTCCAGGACAAAGAGAAAGTGTCAGAGCTGGAGGCAGTGATGAAAAAGCAAAAGAGGAGAATGGAAGACAAGGTGAAAACGGAGGTCCTTTGATCCTTCCCCGCCCCTCCGCGAAGTTTCGCGGCAGCCCCGCGGGAGAACGGACTCTGCACACTGCCCGCACCAATGGAAGCAGATCCTTCCAGGGATTGCGAACCTGTTCCAGCCGTGGTCTTACCTCATCCTGGTAGACATACTGGCCGGTCCTTGCTGGAGTCTCCTGAGCAGGTACTCTCGGGTTGGCCAAGAACGGACATTGAGACAATTTAGGGGAAGCGCTTGTGCTCGGGAGCCCTGTGCATTGTGATACGCTGCCCAGTCTATAAACAGTCTCCTTACCAGGTGGTGTCAACTGCTGTCCCTTCTCTACAGGGGCCAGGGACCTACCCTTCACCCCAGCTACAGCCACAGGAAAGGAATCTAGGAGATGCCCCTCGTTTGCTTTAGTTGCTCTCTGAATTCTCTGCTCCCGGCCTGGGGCCCCAACCCTGGCATCCTCCTCACCTCCCAGCCTCCATTCTGCCTTCCAGTTCTCTCCAGAGGGATCTTCTGAACACCTAATAGCCCAGTCCACCCCTTGCTCAAATTCCTTTTCTGGCTCTCCATACCCATCTTAGCCCCACAGCTGGGCATTCGAGGCCCTGAGCGGCTTGGTCCCTACCAGTCCAACCTCGTCTCTCACCTCCTCGTTCCCCCATGCATTGTGGTCCTGCCCTTCTCCATGCCCCACAAGTCCCCTCAACCACTGGAGTTTTACACTGGCTGGTTTCTGCTGGCTGAAATAGTTCTCTGCCTGTTGAATTCCTGTTTAGCCTTCCTGGTCCAGCTCAAATACCCTCTTTGGAAAAGCCTGCCCTCATCCCCAGGTTAGGTTAGTCTCCCAGCATCCACTTCTGCATCTTGTCCCCCCCACCTCCAGCCAGGGGTCCAGCTCCGGATAAGTGGCTGCCTCCTGAACATGTCACAGGCTTCCTGGCCACTCTCCAGCCTGCAGGACGACAGCTAACAGGAAGCTTCCTGCCTTCTCAGGAACAACCTGTTCCTTTTCCTTCTGGCCAGCCAGCAACTGCTTCTCATTACCCACGTGACCAGCAAGGCTGGCTTGGGGCTGGTTTTCTCTAGACACCCCTCGTCCAGGGTGGACATTTCTGCTCCCGCAGAACACCCACTGACAAGCTCCCCTCCCTGCCCCAGTGAACTCCTGCTGGCCTCTCCCCAAGCCAGACGACACCCACCAGAGAAGCAAGCAGTTCCCCAAAAGTTTTCCCCTCATCAATAACCCCCCATGGCTCCCAGCTTCTAGGCTGCAGACTGGAAACCGTGCCAGAGCCGGACAGCTGTCCCAGACTTTTATACGTGAACTTAATCCAAATTTTAAATGTTGGCAATTGACTCAAATTTGTTTCAAAAGCACTGAAGGCAAGACCCAAGCTCCTCAGCCCGATACTCACAGTCCCTGTCGTCTCATGCAACTGATCCTTCCCGGATCCATACCTTGGGACGTTGGCCCTGGTTTGGGGCCTCTGCTCCAAGTGGCTGCTCTTTCTGAAGCCCCTTCCCTCCCGGTGAGCATGCACCTCCCCGGCCCTCACACCCCACCCTCACGGTCCCGTGGTCTGGTCAGGGATGTGCACAGCCTGAGCAGAGAAGTGGGAGGCAGGTCCTCACCTCCAGCCGCCGATGCAATCATTGAGTGGCAACTTCACGACTTTTATTTGTGGTGCCTGTGCTTTGTCTCGAAAATACCTTCTCCCCCTGCCCCGGACAGTGGGCCGGGAGGGGGCAGCAAAAAATAGAAGACGTCCCTCCCTATTGCACATGGACCCTATATACAGGCCCACCTGGCCGAGGCCGGTGGGACTCTTGGCACATTCTTGGATCCCTGTTCAGGAGTGGGAGGGGTGACTAGAGTGGTATTACACGTAAGAGGGGGACCTCTGGGCGGCCACTCTGGTCCTGGCGCTTCTTGGTCCTTGGTTCCTTCCTGGTCCCACCTCCAGCCCTGGTCCCCCCTCAGAGACATCCCCCTACCTGGCTCAGCCTCCCACCACCGCCGTGGCCTCGGACGGCCCCCCCTTGGCTCCTGGGGACTCGGTACTCCCTTCCCAGCCTGGAAGTCCCAAGGGAAGGTTATGGCTTCTCAGACTCCCCCAGAAGCCCGTCACTCATATTCACGCAGGGGAAGGGGTGCGTGCGGCAGAAGCAGCTGTATAAATATGGGTGCAGGGGGAGGGCCTCCTCCACAGTCACTTGGAGAGTTTGCTGATGACTCGAATCAGGGCTGCGTTCTCATCCTTGAGCCGCTGGTTGTCTGCCCGTAGGTCGGACAGGGCCTGAGAGATAGGATGGGGTCAGCCAGCTGGCCCTGGGCAGGCTGAACCCACTGCCCGCCCTCACTCTCCGCCCACAGCTCCCCATTAATACTCACCTTCAGCTCCTCCTCCAGTTCAGCCGCCTTCCGTTCCAAAGCCCTGCGCTCCTGGAATAAACAGGTGAAGATGAGGACAAGGGACAGGAGTTCAGGGAGGGCCATAGGTCAAGTACGGCTGAGACAGTGGGGAAAGGGCAGAGGAGCAGGTGAGAATCCAGACCCACATGGGTTTGTAAGGCTGGGGACACTCCCGGCCCCACTCCAGCCACCCCTACTCACGAATCTCTCCAGCTCCAGAAGGGCGGGCCTCTCTGCAAAGCGCTCCTGCCTCTGGTGAGGACAGAAAGAGAGCAGGGTCAGAGAAGCGTCTAAACCTCAGTGGCCAGGAAGGAAAAGCAGCAGTGAGAGGGGGAAAGGCAGACCAAACTGCTGGGGCCCAGACCTCAACACCCACTGCTCAAGATAAGCCCGGCCCTTCTTGGCCAGGCCCCGCTTCTGACGTCATAGCCCCGCCCCTCCCCAAGGGTCCTAGCCCTCCCCTCAGGCCCCGCCTCCCAGAGGTCCCAGCCCCGCCCATAAGCCCTCCCCCACCCAGCTGCCCAGATTCCTCCTCTCAAGGGTCCCAGCCCACCACTCAGCCCCTCTCCTCGGTCCTCTGTCTCTACCTCCACCTCCCGAGGATCCTGAGCAAATGAGGCCCCTTCCCACCACATCCAGGGTGTCCTCACCTGCGTGGCGCGCTCCAGCTCTACCTTGAGCTGCGCCAGCTGCAGCGTGGTCTCGGTCAGGGCCTCGCGAAGTCGTTCGTTCTCAGTCCGCAGCTCTGCGTACAGCTGGGGACACCAGGAGGAGGGACCCGGAGGTCAGGCCAGACGCTGAGATGCGTTTGCGGGGGAAGGGGCTGACTGCAGCTTGGGCGAGGGCGGGAAGAGGGCGGGAAAAGGCCGGATGCGCATATGGGTTAGAACCACTAAATAGGGGGCTGGAGGGCAGGTATACATAAGCCAACTTGTGGGGGGTCAGTCAATGGCACAATCGTGGGGTGGGATCGCGAACCTTCCTGAAGCCTCCGTCCGGTTCTTCTGATTCTGGCTCGGGTTCTGGGTTGAGGTCCCGCTGCCTGCGGGATGAGGGGCCGCCCTCAGGAGTGCTGGGGTGGGGTCGAGCAGGGCGTCACAGGGGCGTACCCACGGACCCCCCCCCCAGACAACCCAAAACCTTCCTGCCCACCCTTTACCTGGATTCTGGGCTGTGGTCTGCAGGCGCCGGCTCCGCCTCCTCCCCCTGTGGGCGGGCAGAGGTGGGGTTCAGCCGGATGCTTGGTCCCACCCCCACCCGGCCTCCAAGGCCCACCCACAGCCTCAGCAGACCGGCCTGGGCCTCATCCCTCACCTCCGCAGGCCCCCTACGCTCCTTGCCAACTTTGCGGTGCTCTCTGGTGGCCTGTGGTCCCTGCCCTTGCCCGTCGGGCGCCTCTGCTGGGGAAGAGGCAGGAATCAGCTCAGGGACTTGCGGAGGGTCTCCTCTGCGGTGTCAGGGTCCCTGGGCCCAACCCCCAGGAAAACGGTTGGACTGTAGCGGGAGGGATCGGCTGGGCCCAGGAGAACGACTTCCCAGAGACCAGACCTCACCTCTCTGGGCAGGGCCATCAGCGCTCTGGACCCCAGGGACTCGGGGTCGCCGGGAAGGGTCCTGTGGGAGAGGGGCAGGGGAGTCAGAGGACGAGGGCGTCTGGTACCACCCACTGTCCATCACCTGACTCCTCTCACCAGGCTCTGCAGGCACTTCTCTGGCTCTGGGGCCTTCCCTGCGGCCTTCTCGGCCTCCTTCAGGTCCGTCAGAGTCACACCCTGGCACAGAGACAGGGCAGTCAGGTCCAGCACACAGGGCCCAGCCCCAGCATTCATCCTTCAGACCCACCAGTCCAGGCCCCAGCCCATACCTGTGTGGACCTCCGAGACTGGCGCATGAGGCGAGAGCGAGCTTTGCGCTGGGATTCAGACTCCTCATCCCGCACAGGCATCTGGTAGGACCTGAGTGAAGGGCCCCCGACCTCAGGGAGGGTTCCCTTGGACCCTGCTCTGTCCCATGGCCGACACTCTCGGGGAGTCACATTGTGCCAGAGGACTTCAACTCCCCCGACCCTGGGACACACTGTCCCTTGGGAGCCACCCTCACAGGACCGGGGACTCCTGGGGAATGTACTTTCCTCCCCGCTGGGGAGACGGCGGCCTCTCACTCCCTCTTCACCTCACCTCCGGCGGTCCCGGGAGTCCGCTGGGGGCGCTGCAGTGACTACAGGGACATTGGGCTTCACTGGGGACTGGGGCTCCAGAATCCTGGAGGGAGGAGTGGAGTCATTCAAAGGAGGTGGCCGCCTGGAGATCTCAGACCTGTGTGAATTCATTCATTCGGCAAATGTTACTCAAGCTTGCATGCGTTACGTGGCAGGCACCAGACACAGCAGCGCGCAAAAGAAAGAAATGATCTCTGCCCCGATGACTCAGATCTGGGCAGAAAAGATGCAAAACAATAGCCACAAGAAGACTAGAACATCACATACTACGTCAGGAATGTCAAGCCCTCTGGAGAAAAAAAAAAAAAAGCAAGGACAGGAGGCAGGAGGGGTGCATGTCCGGCTGCTGTGGCGGTGAGTGCAGCGGGCCTCACCAAGAAGCTGACATTCACACAGACCTGAGAGAGGGAGGAAGGAAGCCCTGTGGGTGTGAGGGGGGAGCTGGAGCGAAGGTCTGGGCAGGAGCCTGCCTGTGTCAGAAAGGGCGGGTGGGAGGAGGCGGGGGGAACGGGGGCCAGATCACCGTGGCCTTGGAAGTGTACCAAAAGGGAAACTGAGACCAAGAGTTGGGGGAGGCAGGGACCAGACCCCAGAGAGCAAGTGGACCTCCCCAGGATCATGCAGACAAGACTGGTACCTGGACCTGCCTCCCACCCCCGAGAGGGGCCCAGAGAACCCCGAATACTCACGGGGCAGAGGACTCTGGCACATTCCGTGAGGGTGTGGGGGTAATTCTGGCAAGACGGGGCTCCCTGACCTTGAGAGAGAGGAAAGGAGGGGGGCTAGTCTCCATGACTAGGCAGGGTCTGGTCCCCTGCCCATCACCCTGCTCACCTGAATGGAGGTTCCCTCCAGCCGCGAGGAGGAGGCTGAGCGCTGCAGCCCAGCTGCAGGGGCGCCCCCAGCCCCCTGCCTATCTGTGGGACCTAGGGCACCAGAGCTCCCCGTCTTCTGGAGGCCAAAGCGCCTGGAGAAGGTGGTCTCTTCCGGGGTCTGGAGAAAAGAAAGGTCTCAGTCACAGAGAAAGGGTCCCTCTTCTCAGGAACTCCAAATGTTACCTCCAAAGGGACCACAAGGAACTACAACTGTGGGGCAGGTACAGCCAGGAAAAGGCAGTCCGCTGTGCTAGAGGATTCTGGGAACTGTAGTCTTCGCCCTCCCTGCCCTGCCTGGAGGCGTGCAGTAAGCCTCCGGGCCTAGCGTGGCCTCAGGACACCCAGACTCACCGTGGGGCTCTTGGGGCTAGAGAGTGGCGGGGAGGAGGCCCCGTTGAGCGTTCTGGATTCTGCTGGGGGGTACTCTATGGTGCAAGAAGGGGGAGAGGTCACAGGAATATGCCAGCTGCCTCTGAGAACCAGCTCCTCCTCCTTCAGCCCCAGGGGTCCAGCCCCCAGCCCCCCCTCCCTCACACCCAGGGGTCCAGCCCCCAGCCCCTCCTCCCTCACACCCAGGGGTCCAGCCCCCAGCCCCTCCTCCCTCACACCCAGGGGTCCAGGCCCTCAGCCCCATCCTCTCCAGATTCAGGAACCCAGGCCCCCAGCTCCTCACCTGAAGGGCCTTCTTCTCCCTCATCCTCATCCCGGATGGGGAGCCCCCCCGCCCCTCCAGGCCGGCGCTCCTTGGACAAGTCCTGGAGGGAGATCTTCTCACGGCTGCTCAGACGACATACGGAGCTCCTGGTGGAAAGGGGAGGTGTTGGGGGGCAAACCCCAGGGAGCCTCCAGGCCACCGACCCTCCAGGCACCCCTCCCTACCTTCGGTGTTTGCTGCTGGCGGGCACCTGGGACTCCTGGCCCCTGCTCTGGGAGGCTTCCTTTTGGTTCCGTAGCTGCAAGGGAGAAGGGGCTACTGGGGAGGGACAGAACACATGGACCCTCCTGGGTCCCACGCCCCCAACACTGAGGGCTACAGGCACAGCCCTGCTGGTCATGCCTAACTCGATGCTCCCACGATAGGTCCTCAGGTCTCTGGCTCCCCGGATGGGCGGGGCCGGGTGGGGGGAAATCTGCGGACTCATTCAAGTTTTCCCACCATCGGCGCCCTGGGTCTCCTGCTTCCAAGGGCCTCCAAGCTTCCTGGCCTCCAGTCCTGTCCCCAGAGGGGTCCCTCTACCTCCCAGGGGCGACCTGCCCAAACGTCTGCCAGACCCTTCAGCACACCCAGACCATGGGCTGGCAACCCCCACCTCCTCCCTTAAGGCTCTCTCTCAGGCACTGCTCCCAAAAGGCATCAGTTCCCAGCCTGCCGTTTTCACACAGCTCACACTGCAAATCCATGGCAGAGCCAGGGTTCAGACCCTGAGTCCACACCGTTCACCCCCTCACTCTGAGATTTTCCAGCAACAGTGCCTGGTCCGGTGCTGACTGGAGGGCATCCCAGGGGTGACGAGGCCTGGCCCAAGCCCGGATAGACCACCCCCATCTGCGCCCCAAGGTCCACCTGGGCCCCAGGCCCCGCCTCCCCCCAGGACCCAGCTGTGCCCCTCCTCAGGGCTCTCCACTGGGCCCCTGTCACTAGCCAGGGAAGGGCAGGTGCCCCGGCCAGATGCCAGAGACTCACGTCCTCCTGCTTCCGGGCCAGCTCCTCCAGCAGGCTCAGCACCTCCTCATCTGCCAGGTCACAGGGTCGCTGCCCCTGGGTGGGCAGGGGGAGAAGGGCCAATGAGGAGGAGTTGTGGGGGCCCTCCCAGCCCGCCAGCCCCAGGCGCCCCAGCCTGGCCCTCACCGCGTGGGTCAGCGAGTCCATGCCCCCACCGTGCTCCGCCAGAAGGCGGCAGGCGTCCTCCACGCCCCAGTGGGCCGCGGCGTGCAGGGGGGTCCAGCCGTCCCCATCCCGCAGCTCCGGATCGTAGCCAGCCTGAAGGAGCAGCCTGGGGGCCAGGGAGGCTCGGGTCAAGGACCAATACAGGGGCTCTGGGCCAAGGGCTGATGTCGGCCAGCCGTGCTGTGGTGGCAATACCAGCTGTGACAGTACCGGAAACAATCCGCCACGTGGTAAAGAGCCACTGCCCCGAGCACCACCCCCTGCAAAGTGACCCCCTCTTCCCCAGGCTCTGACCCCTCCCCTGGCCCATCAGGTGGCCTCTGGAACCCTGCTCCTTGTACCTGTAGGGGTGAACTCTTTTGACAGTCACCCCTGGTTGTGGGACAGCCCCAAAGTAGGTGGGGGTGGGGGTTCCACAGCACCCAAGCCTAAGGGAAGGATGAGACCCCAGAAGGGGTGGCCTAGGGGCAGCACTGTACGCAGGAACCCAGGCTCAGAGCAGCAGTTCTCGAACAGGGAGGCACTGCCATGTGGGCACCTGGCCATGTCTGGAGAGGTTTCTGGTTGTCATAACTTAGGGGTGGGTGCCAGGGAAGCTGCCAGCCACCCTACAGGGCAGAGGACCGCCCCATGGTGAGGAGCCATCTGGTCCAAATGCGACCAGTCAGGAGACAGAACCCCGGGCTCAGACAATTCCGGGGGGATATTCACCACGTCGGACCACTCAGTCTGGCTAGAAGTCCAGGGCAGTTCTGGGAACTCAGTTTAGGGCAGACGTGTCTGCTCTTAGAGGGCTGGATTTAGGTTGGGTCAGTGAGGAAGAGCTAAAGCAAGGAGGGGAAGATGGGGAGATGAGGTATCTTGTAAAGAACCTTTTTACACAAAAGCTCGTTGGTGCAGCCGGAGCTGACTCTGCCCCAGCGTGCTGGGCACCCTGCTACTTCCCCGAGCACGCGCCCACCTCAGGCCCCCATTCTCTCTGCCCGATGAGTGTTCTCGGGGCGTCTTGGCATTTCTTGCAGCCACCCCCTCAGCAGTCAAAGAGGGGCCCATCCTCACAGAGGAACTCCCCTCTCTGCACTCGCCTTCTCCCACTGCCCTGTCTCTGTCCCTCAAGGCCAGTAGTTATCAAGTGGGGATGACGCTGAACCCCAGGGGACACTGGGCGATGTCCAGAGAGGTGCCTGGCTGCCGTGACTGTGGCGGGGTATGGCTCGGGCATCTGGTGGGTGAAGGTCAGGGATGCTGCACAACATCCTGCTGGGAACAGGATGGCCCCCCAGGGTCATCCGGCCCCACGTCACCCGTGTGGAGGGGAAGACCCCTCTCTAAGCACTTAGGGCCCTGGGACGTGACCTGCTTCCCGGGTCACTCGTCTGTCTCCCCGACGAGGCTGTGAACTGCTCGTGGGCCCAGAGCCATCCTATTTGCTGCTGTAAGCACAGCACCCAAAAGACATTCAGCAGGTGCTTAGTAAGTGCTGAGTGAATAGCGTCAAGTATAAATGCACACTTCTACTCTGCCACCCATCTTTAACCAGGAGAATGTCGGCTACATTCTTTCCAAAATCCAATCAGCACAACATTACTAATGTAAATTCCAGCTTTTCCCTCTAGGACAAACACTTTACCAAAATACGCAACTTTTTTTTGGTGGGAAGAGATTGTCCTGACTTCTACTCATTTCCTGAGGCCTGTGGAAATAAACCTTTATGTACTTAAAGTTATACAGAATATAGAATAAAATTAATAACAAAACCAAAAAAGCCAATCAACAGATCTGGTTGTGAACACAAACACACACTGAGGGGCACAAATGAAATTATGGTCAGTGAGTATCTCTTAAGTCAGGGAACAACCAAAATGTCTCAGTCCTGCTGCAGAGAATGAGGCTGCCCATGCACATCGATCCTTCCTTCCCCCTGTAATAATGGCACCCTGCTTTCAGTGGGTCATACGGCCACCCGGCTGAAGTAGAACCTCCCAGTCTCCCTCAAAGCCAAGAACAACCAGCTAAGTAGGGTCTGGCAAATGGGATGTTAACAGTGCATGCCACTTCTGGACTGTTTTTTCAAAAGGAATGGAGGTTTGCTCCCTTTGCCCTCTCCTTCTTCCTGCTGGCTGGGATGCAGAGGCGATGGCAGGAGCTGAAGCAGCCACCTCAGACTCCGGGGTGGAAGCCATGGGCAGAGGAGGGCACTCCCTCTGGGACTGGGCACATCACTGGGCCTGACCATTCACAGCGTCCCAGCCCCCTTGCTGCAGGAATCGGCCCTGGGATGGACAGGTGTGGAAGGTGGCCCAGTGAGTGTCAGACCCAGGGCTTCCACTGGAACTACAGAGGACAAGGCACTCCACCTCCGAAACAAGGGAAGCAGCCAGGACATGAACCTGGAGCTGTCAGCGGTCATCCTAAGTTCCCTACAGGGAAACCTTCCCAAAAACTCATCACTCAGAGGTGAGCAGAGATGGAGGGATTCACCTGAACTCCATTTTCATACCAAAAATACAGGACAACATCACACGAGGGAGAGAGAGAAAGCAGAGAGCAGGGCACCTGAAGAAGTGGAACCCGCTACTCCGACATTCCTGTCAGTCAGAAGCGGACAAGACGCAGGAGAGGATGAGGGAGGACGTCCTGCAACAACTTAAAAGACAGATGCGCCAAGTAATCCGGCCTTGAAGTACGTAACACAACAACTGATTCAACCACAAGAAGAAAACCCGCAGCCACAGTGGGACGTTTCACTGCTTCTCACAGCAACTGACAGAATAAGCAGGTGGGGAAAAAAGATCACTAAGGATATAGAAGACTTAAATAGCACAACTGCAAAGCTGACCTCGTGACCTACACAGAACGCTGTACTTTGCAACGCAGCTCTTTTCCAGGTCACACGCACTGGGCTATGAAGTGAATCCCAATGAATTTCAGAAACCTGGAATCACACGGAACCCATCCCCCGACAGCCCCGTGCAGGGACGGCAGGAAACGCACACAGGCAGCCCTCAGAGATGCTGAGGGCTCAGCTCCAGACCACCGAGCTAAAGCAGGCGTCACGTTGCAGCAAGGCGCACGAACTCTGCGGCTTCCCGGTGCACGTGGAAGTTATGTCTTCACTGCAGCGTCGCCTAGTATAGCGTGTGATGGCACTACATCTAGAAAGCCAGTGTGCATACCTTCATCAAAAAACACTTTATTGCTAAAAAATGCTTACCATCACCTGACAACGCAGGGTTGCAACAAACCTTCAATTTGTAAAACAAACAAACCCCACAGTATCTGCAAAGCACGACAGACGAGGCAGGCCTGGAATGAAACGATGACTAGAAAATGCTATGTGTTTGGAAATGAATGACATACTTCTGAACGGCGCATGGGTCAGAGAGGATTGGCAGCTGGAAAATGTTTTAAACTGAAGGACAGAGAGAAGGCTGCACATCAGACCTGCAGACGCAGCTGAGGCTGTACTCAGAGGGGAACGCGTGGCCTTAGGCACATGGATTAGAAAAGGACAGGAGTGGAGAAAACCCACAGGAAGGTGTGAGACAGCGAGAAGGAGCAGGGGAAAGGGAGGGTCTACACCGGCCCAGCTCACCTCATCACTTCGATGTAGCCCTTGGCGGCGGCCACGTGCAGGGCAGAGGCCCCCGTGCGGGGATGCCGGGCCTCAGGCATGGCGCCCCCGTTCAGCCAGCACCTCGTGTCGTGAAGGAGCAATTCCTCCTCGGCCCGTCTGGCTGCCTCCACATCCACCCCTGGGAGGACGAGAAGGGGGAACAGGTGGAACTCACACCCCCAGATCCAGGAAGCACAGGGTGGTACCCGGCCTGGTCCCCCTGCTCTGTGGGCGCCAGGGACTCAGGGACCTGGACCTGCTCAGCACCTCCCAACCGTGCTCTGCGAGGTCCTGGGCTCCAATGAGGGTCTCCGACTCACTGCTGGAGGCTGGGAAGATGGAGACCGCAGGCCTTTTCCCATTTTAACCCAAAGTATTGCCTGTGTCATTATTTCTAAGTATAAAACCTCCAGTTCACTGAGCAAACGCAGCATTCGGTCACCCTGACATCTCCTAGCACTGCCGATACAGCCCTCAGCCAGGCATTCGGTCACCAGGACCACGCTGAACACTCATGAGGACATACCCAGCAAAAAGCCACTGCGCGGTGCGCGTCCCGCTGGGGCAGCAGCACCTGCCCACCAGGTGCAGACGCGCTCTCGACGTGCCGTCACCTGCGCCAGCTGGCCAGAGGCCAGCACGCTTCCTCACCGGTCGATTTCACTGTCTCCGACCGGTTTCGCAGCAAGTTATACTGCATTTATGGCTGCAAACGGCCAGTTACGACTTTCAGTTAACTGTGGATCAAAACAGTCAGCTTTGCTGAGGCTGGAATGTCATCTGCTGGCTGTCACTGAGAATCTGTACTTTGCAGGTTATAAACTACTGAGACGGGAGTCAAAAATGGCCTTTTCTAGACAATGTGTGCACCTTCTCCTGGGAGTTTTATCACCGGCTGTTACTTTTGCAGTTGTGACATTTCTCGCTCACCCCAGTGCTGCCCAGAGCTGAGCCGTCCTGCACAAAAGCTGTCAGCCACGTGCAGCTACGGAGCACCTGAACTGTGGCGTCTCCCCTCTGAGATGTGTAGTAAGTGTGAACCACCCACCGGGTTTCCAAGTATGATTTTTTTAAAAATGTGCGGCAGCTCATGAAGTTTTTTTATATTGATGTCTTGGACATACTTGGTTAAATAAAATGTTATTAAAATTAAGTTCACCTCTTTGCTTTTTCTTTTTTGAAATTCACCTACTTGAAAACCCTCAAAGACGCACGTGGCTCGCACCGGCTTCCCACAGGGCAGCGCTGGCACGGACCCCGTGCACCGCCGCTTGGCTGAAAACGCTAAAACGTGACAGAGGCAACCAAAGCCCCGCGCCCCCTGCCCACCTCATCCTGCTCCTTGCGGCCCGAGCGGTAACCGCCATCACAAGTCTGCTTTCACAAATGCGAACCTGCTTATATGTCCTCATTACAATACCGCAAACGTCTGCTCCAGGGTTACAGTGGGACCCCCGAAACACAATCCCCCTCCGGGACCAAATCCTCCCGGGTCCGGCTGCGCACTGGCGCCACCAGGTGGCACCTGGGCGCTGGAGCTAAACTCCAACGGGATCATCTGCGAGTCTCCCGGTGGCTATCCCAGGAATGCATGATTGGTTAGGGCACATCTCCCAGGCCCAGACTGGGGCGGGGGCCTGGAGAGTGCGGGGGACTCTGAGATCCACCCTCTCCCACTCCTCTTCAAAGGGAATCGCCTACATTCAGCCCTGTTACAGATGCAGGCGCCTGCTGCGGGAAGGGCGGAGTTTGCCGGCCTTTCATTCAGCAAACGCAGTTACGACCCTGCCTGTTCATACCCATCCTTCTGCAGTTCTGCTTTTTGCTGAGATTTGCCCGAGTTTATTAACAGAGCTCTTGATGGAGGTTGGCAACCTACGTCCTGTGGGTACAGGCCACCTGTTTGGGCTTTTACTTTCTTCGTGGTGGCGGTGGTAAAAAATGTAACATAAAGTTCACCTATTTCACTATTTGAAAGTATGCAATTCAGTGGCATTCAGGACACTCATAGCACACAGCCATCGACTCATCCATCTGTGGTACTTTTTCATGCCCCCAGTGGAAACCTCACACCCCATTCATCAGTCACTCCCTGTACCTCCCTCCTAAGGCCCCTAGCAACCACCTATCTACTTCCTGTCACTGGAAGGCACTCGTGTTTGTAAATAAAGGTTTAATAGAACGTGGCCACACCCACTCACTTATATATCCTGCCTGCCTGTTTCCCCCACTGCGGGGGGCAGGGTGGGTGGTGGTAAAATGACAGCGCATCCTGAAAAGCCTAAAATATTTATTGCCTAGAACATCTGCCAAGCCCAGCTTAGGTCATTCATTTATAGATTATCAATTGATCCACTTTTCCTTGTGGTGTCAGCCACATCCTCTCACAATGACAAACGACAAGACGTAGGCCAGTGGGTGGAGGGCCTCCAGCGGGTGGCCTAGGCGTGGAACAGCTAGAACACTGGGAATGCAGGTCTTCAGCTATGATCCAGGGTGGCCAGCTGTTTCCCACAGCGGCCACAACCACCAATGCCCCTGCCGGCCAGAAATGGGCGTGCCCTGGCCCTGCCTCGCCAGCCCTGGGACTGACTGCCCACGCTGCCTGCCTTTGAGAGGGAGTCCCTCCCTCCGCCCGTCTCAGATGTTGGGATTCTGAGTGGGATTGCTTCAAATATTTCAGAAACTCTTCAAGTGTCCTGCCCAGTTCCAAGTCCCTGTGGGTCCTAAACCATGGCCCTTCGGAGTAATGTGGCCAGGGGGTCCTGTCGGCACAGGACACCGTGCTGCGGCCTGGGCTGTGGGGACGGCATCCATAGTGGAGCCGTTGACTGGACTGGCCAGCATCCACCCCGCCTCTATAACGTCTTCCTTCTCTTCACCCCTGCTATCAACCCACCTGGTTGTGACGTGACTGAGCCCCACAGCGTGGCTCCACGGGCGCCCACATCACCAGGCCTGACCATCCTCCCTGCCACAGTGACCAGCTCAGGGGCAGGCTTGTGACCAAGGCCCAGGCTTGCGTCAGGCAGAGGGCCGTGGCCGGGACTACTGAGGGACCTACTTCTAGTTCAGCTGGGGTATCAGCCTGCACTGCTGGAAGCCTTGCTAAGCACCTCACTGAGAGAACCTGCCCAAGAATGACGTCAGTGCAGAGTTCAGCAGAGGGATGGGGGATGCTTTTAACTTTGTCTGTGCCCCTGGATCAAACCATGCCTGAAGTCCATATAACTCCTAGATGTCAGTTACACAAGCCCATAAATTGCCTTCTTTTTTTAACTGTGGTAAAATACACACAGAATTTACCACCTTAGCCATTTTTACACACGCGGTTCAGCAGCATTAAGTACACTCACGCTGTTGAGCGGCCACCATCACCATCCATCTCCAGAACTCTCTCCTCTTGCAAAAGTGAAACCCTGCATCCATTAAATAACTCCTCACCCTCCACTCCCCCAGCCCCTGCCAACTACCTTCTACCCTCCATCTCTATGAGTCTGACTATTTCAGTCAAATCCCTCACATACGTGGAATCATACAGCATTTGCACTTTTTGTGCCTGACTTATCTCCTTAGCACACCGTCCTTAAGCTTCACCCATGCTGTAGCCAGGGTCAGAATGCCCTCCTTCTTCAGGCTGGGCACTATTCCACTACACATACATGCCACACAGTGCTTGTCCAGGAGGCATCCCTCAATGAGCACCTGGGCTGCGCCCACCCTTTTGCTACTGTGAACAATGCTACTGTGCACAGGGGTGTGGGAGACTCCTCTGGCCCGAGCCAGGCTGCCACGGGTTCTGGTGCTCGCAATGAGTCGCGCCTCATTCAGCAGCTGAGCCAGGAGGTCCAGAGACCTTCCAGCGGCGACCCAGATTCTGCCCACCACGCTCCGCCGAGGCTTCTGTGTGAAGGCGAGCATCCCGGGGCCACGTGGGCCAAGGCCTCTGGATCCCAGAGGCAGCAGCCGCGGTGCTCTTTGCAGCCTGTCCCGCCCCCAGCAGCACAGCAGAGGGTCCTCCCGTCAGTACCACCAGCCTTTGTGCCTGCTCGGCCCTACCGGCCAATATCCGCCCCCCACCTTCTCCTTGCCCTGCAGAAGGGCACACAGGCCTCCGTGAGAAGGTGACATGAGCTACAGGCAGTTCCTGTAGAAACACACAAAACATCTGAGAAATCACCCACCCCTGCTGGCCATTCTCGGCCCAGAGAAGCGGCCTGCAAGCATCGCCCTGCAGACTACTTTTTAACTACAGAGGGAGGAAGATGTCTCTGAAGTAGAGTCACCTGGGCAACCCCTGGAAGGAAGTTTGAAGTTACCACCACCAGTAACGGGGGGCAGACAGAGCGTGTGTCCCCGAGGCACGTGCTGAGAGGTTCCTGCCAAGGATGCTGAACTGAAGAACCAGTCAGGTCCAGGCTGAGGGACCACCGTGTGAAACAGGGGAGGCGAGGGGAGCGAGGGCTGGTCCAGAGGGAGGGAGACCAAGGTGACAGGAGGACCAGGCGCAGGGAGGGAGCCAGGCAGGTCCTGAAGCAGCGGGAAAAGGCGACAGTGCCCAAGATAGGTAACATTTCACCATCACAGTCAGCATCCAGACGCTGAGAGGAGAGAAACAGCGTCCCACCCCCATGGCGGTTACAAGGAAAGCAGCCTTGTTTTACATCTGGGCTCCTGCGTCTCCCCAGGTGGAGCAACCGTGTCTGAAACATCTCAAAATGGTTCGGGAAAGAGAGGGAGGAAGCCAGGGAGGAGGAAGAGAAAGAGGGAGGGAAGGAGGAAAGAGGGAGGGAAGGAGGAAAGGCGGGGAAAGGCAACTTACAGATGGGGGCGGGAGAGGGAGGAAGCACATGCAAATGTGCCAAAAAGGCAAAAATCGCGGAGCCTGTGCTTTATGACTCCGCTTATACAGAACGTCCAGAACAGGCACATCCGTGGATACAAAGCCATTGGGCAGCTTCCCGGGGCTGAGGGGGCTGGAGGATTGGGGGGTGACAGCTCAGGGGTGTGGGGTCTCTTTGGGGATGATCAAAATCCTCTAAAACCAATGTGGTGATGAACGCACAACATTGAGTGTCAATAAACTAAAAAACAAAACAAACAAACAAAAAAACAACCAGATCTATACTTTCAAGGCTGAGCTGTCCACACTGAGTCCTACCTCCATAAAGATGCTAAAGAGCTCTGGTCAGTCTCAGTGAAGGTCATAAAGTCACTTGTCGGACTGCAGTTGAAACCTGCCTCTGAGTTGGAAGCTTTTCGAGATAAAAAGTGGACGAGAGGAGGGAGGAGACCCCGACGCTGCCCTAGTTTTGCTCACTCCCCAACATGAACCAAACAGGGACCTCAGCCGTCCATCTCAGGAGCCCTGCAAGGCTCCCACGGCCACCAACACATGACCTGCCTGGGCCAGGCCTTTGGCCCTCCCATCCCAGCCAGAGCGCTGCAACCCGACCAGGCCGGGAACCCGGGCGTCACCTGGGGCTCCCCAACCCTGTTCTTCATCAGCCTTCCTGCCCCCGCACGGCCCTCCAGACCCACCAGGCCCCGCACTCACGCCTTCTCATGACTGAACCCTGACCGCTGGCTCACTCCAGCAACCAGACAGTCACCCCTACACACAGAGAGCTGGGCTCCAGAAGCCATGCTTATGACCCTGCACGGCTGCAGGGCTCCGGAGACTCAGTGATGCTACCTGCCGTCCCCCACCCAGCCTTGCCCATGCACCCTGCATGCCATCTGGTCCTAGACAGCTATTTTTAGGGGGGCGGGGGAGGGGGGCCACAAGCACCTCTGAGATCCTGCTAGAAGTAACATACACTCCGCCTAGAAAGCGTAACTGGCCACATACAGGCCTTGGGGGGTCCTGAGCCCCATATTAGGGACCCCTGGGGTTCAGCGGTCCTGAGCCCAGGAGACTGGTCCCCCAGAAGCCTCTGCATCCCTCTGCCTGCCCGGTAGTAAAACTCCCACGAAGACCTGCAGTCTCACCTCATTGTCCCCTGGACCAGCCCTGCCTCAGTTTCCTCAGTTACTCAGAGGATAAGACAAAGCTTCGGGTCAATGATGGTTTGTGCTCTTATTCTGTGTGGAGCAGAGACACAAGCACTCCCTCCAGTGCCTCGATTACTCGATTAACAGTCCCAGCAACCCTGAGGGTAGGTGTTCACAACCCGTTTCCCAAGTATGGACAGTGAGGGGGGTGAAGGGGGTCAGCGTCCTAGGAAGCGGAGGGCCCGCCTCTGGCAGCCCCCGAGGCCCACCTCTGCGGGCGATCTCCGCCTTCAGCAGCCCCTCCATGGGGTCAGACTCGGCCAGGTCCAGGGGCAGGTCCCCATCGCTGTTGACAGCGGCGATGTTGGCCCCATGGCTCAGGAGGTACCTGGGGGCAGGGCGAGGTCAGGGCCGAGGGCTCCAAGCCCTAGCCCCAGCCCCCCTCAGGCCTCGCCCATCCTCCCTGCCTCACCTGGCGATGTCCAGGTAACCACAGGAGGCGGCCACGTGTAGGGGTGTCCAGCCCTCGTTGTCTGCCTGGTTCACAGTGGCGCCCTGCTCCACCAGGAAGCGCACCACCTCCAGGTTCTCGTCGATGCAGGCCTGGGGGGCGGGGACAGGGCTGTCGGCCCTCACCCACTCGACACCGCACTCCTGGCAAGACTGGACTCCTGACGGGGATCCAGGGGCCAACTGGCCACAACATTCAAGGAGAGGACCCCAATGGCCCAGGGATAGGCCCTGCCCCCAGAGGCCCCACCAGCCACCTAGCTGTTTAAGACACCCTCCCCACCCCAGTTTCCCAGTGGTCAGGTCAGCCAGGCATCTGGAGCTCACTGGAGACCATGAGAGGAGGGCTCCCAGCAACCAGGCAAGTAGAAACTGGATAGAGAAGAGAGGGGTCTTCACCCCGGTGTAGGAATCCTGACTGATGCTTACAGGTGAGATGTTCTCCACAGTCACCACTGGAGGGTGGGGCTTCCAGTGATGGACCAAAGGGAAGAGACCTGACACCTTCCCCTCAGACCCAGGGGTCCAGCCCCCAGCCCCTCCTCCCTCAGACCCAGGGGACCAGACCCCCAGCTCCTCCTCCCTCAGACCCAGGGGACCAGACCCCCAGCCCCTCCTCCCTCAGACCCAGGGGTCCAGCCCCCAGTTCCTCCTCCCTCAGACCCAACAGCATCTCTACAGGAACTGACCATGGCCCTGCCTCATACCCAGAAGGGAGACAGCTAGATCCCCGGGGCCCAAGGCTGTGCAGGGCTGGTAAAGTCTCCAGGTCCCTGGGAATGCGGGGCAGAGCGAGGGTCCTAGGAAGGATTCCTACACTGGGAGACACAGCCGTGTGAGCATGTGCCCAGGGCCTGGGGTCCAAGGAGAGGCAGCTTCCATGCACTGAGGGTCTACTATGCACAGGGCGTTTCCATGGGCCATCGTCCCTAATCCTACCACTGTGAGGATCCTGTTTCATGGAGGAAGAATCAAAGCTCCAGGAGACAAAAGCCCTTCCCCAAGGTGGCCCAGCAAGTGGGGGCCGGAGAAGGGACTTAGCCCAGGGCGCATGCAAACACCAGGTGGCCACTGGGACCTGAGCAGCGCCTGACAGATGGGGGTGGCCCTGGACTCCTGGGTCCTCAGGGTAAATTAACCCTCAGCTCCCTCACCTCTCCCAAACCATCCATCTGGAGAAGAGTGGAGGAAGCTACAAGGGCCAAGAGCATGAAGTCATGGAAACTCAGGCCGCGAAAGGGGGGCCACACGTGCCCTGGGAACGGGATGAACTCTGGGCTCCGTTTATTTCCACTCGGTTGTCATGGTGATGGGAGGGGGGGCAAGGAGGGAGATGGGCCTTTCCCTTTCAAGGACCTGGCCAGGCACAGGCATCCATGTGAAAGATGCCTGAGGCCCGGGCACCAGGGATCCAAAAATCCAGGCACCAGCCCCTCCTCCCTCAGACCCAGGGGTCCAGGTACCCTGACTCCTCCCTGTTTAGACCTAAGCATCCTGGCTCACAGTCCTTCCTAGTCCAGACCCAGACCCCTGGGCACTAATTACAAGGCAACTTCGAGGAAGGGGTAGAGCACACCAGTCACCTCAAGCAGCTGACAAACCAGCCTGAGGTAGGGACTGAGGCTTGAGAACTTCTGGGGACACAACCTAGGCAGGGACCAATGCCTGGGGACCTGCTCTGGGAAGGATGCAGAGCAGAAACCACAGCCCCAGGTCTCACCCAGACCATGTGAGCAGCTGTCCCGGTTTGCCCGAGGCTGGGGGTTTCCTGGGACCTGGGACTTTCAGTGTTAAAACCAGGCCAGTCCCCGGCACACCAGCCAGCACTGGTCACCAGACACCCAGACCTGACCCAAACCCCAGCTGCCCCGCTGGCTGGCTGTGTGACCTGAGGCAGGGACTTCCCCTCTCTGAAGCTCAGAGGCCCTAATCCTTCAGGCCTCCTGCAAAGCCCTGCAAAGCGAGTTTACCAAGTGCTTGCCTGCAGTGGGGGTTGAGGGGGGGTCCCACTTGACAGGCCAGGCTGGAGTGGCCTTTGGCCGCGTCCCGGCCCAGGGGGGAGCTGCAGAATGGGGCTTGGCCTGAAAAGCAGATCCAAGAACCCCTTCGGAAAGGTCCAAGGGAGTCAGGAGTAGGGACGGTGGTAGAGGAAGGGGGACACTGAAGCCTGAAGCCTCTTTCCTGGGTGTGCCAAGCTCTGAGACCCTGCAAGGCCTCAGGAAGTGGGACCCTCCTTGAGATGGAAGGCAATGTCCCAGGTAACACTGGGGCCTCTGCAGGGGACAGACCTGGGGAGAGGGAAAGAGAAAGGGGGGAGGGGTACCACTTAGACCAGGGGCTACAACCCCTCAACTCAAGGTCTACGGTGCTTCGTGAAGGGTGTTTGTCTTTCTTCACAAGAGTCCTGCCTGGGAGGGACTGGCTACTGGCCCCATTTAACAGATAAGAAACCTGAGGCACAGGGAGAAAAGACACTAATTAAGGTCACAAAGTTGAGGAGCTGAGATGAGAACTCAGGTCTGCCCCATTTTCCTAAACTGCTCCTCTTCCCAGGAAGTGGGCCTCTTCAGCCATCTGTCTCATCCTCCTACCCTCTGCCAACCTTTCCTTCCCAGGGTCCTCTCTGCGTCCAAACCCTGAGGGTTCTGGCAGGGAAAAGAGGGCTGGGGGCTGAATCCATCTGGGGAGAATAGGAAGGAGACGGCCTCAGGGACAGAGGGAGGGGACAGAGGATCTTCTGTGGCCTGTCCCTGGTGGTCCCACTGGAGGAGGGGAAGGAGTGATAAAAGCACCCAAAATCAGAGAGCCCTGGTTCTGGGACATAATATGGCCCTGGTTCTGGAACACGGGAACACTGGAGGCAGAAATCAGGGTGTCTTCTTGGAAAGGCAAGGGGACCCAGACTGTAGAGAGTGAGGACTAACAGGGTTCTCAAACCCTCAGTAAGGTGCTATGACATGGGGCTAGAAGAGATCATGCACTCTGTGGGAGGGAGAAGCTGCCCAAATCCACAGGAGAGTATCAGGGCAGAGAAAGCAAGATAGTCAGGGGATAGACAGGTGGCCCAAAGCCAGGAAGAGGTGGATGCCTTGAGTTTGCCCAGAAAAAAAAGGTAATGGTGCAAGGCAAGAGGAGCGACGGGGAGAGCAGGTGCCTGGAGAAGAAACATCCCTGAGAGAAGGCCCACAGTGGGAGGCTTGAGGTGACACAGGACCCGGAAGGAGAATGAAGAGGGCAGGAGGCGGAGCAGGGAGCAGGGGAGAGAGCATGCACTGGCCCAGATGGGGCAAGCATCCACTTCAAGTGCACAGAGCCTTGAAGGCAGTGGCTCAGGAAGGAGCATCCTTAGATAGCAACAGATGACAGAGACCAAGGACGAGAAGGAGAAACCTGAAAAGAGTGTCATGGAAGTTGCTAGACCTAGTCAAAGAGGTGGCTCAAACCAGAGACCAGGGGAGGAAGCAGCACAGACCCAGGAAAGACAAGGGTGCTGCGCAGTGGAAGTGGTCCCTGCCTAGAGGGGAGAAAATGGGCCAGAGGTGCTACAAGTATTGCCAGAAGAGGTGGCGCTGGTGGAGCTGGAAGAAGTAGCACAGACTCAGGAAAGAGGTGCAGCAGTGGGCGGCAGGGTAGAGAGGGCACCGGCGGAGGTGGCCCGGGCGAGACCAGTAAAGAGGCTCAAGGTCGGGAAAGAGCAGCGTCAAGCGACAAGACGAGGACCGGTGAGGTGGGCTGGACTGGGGCCCTCAGCAATGGCTCAAGTCCAGTGAGAGGGCAGCGCAACACGGCAAAGACCAGGGCCAGTCCAAGTGGTTCGGGATTGGAAGAGGGGAGCTCGACGTAGGTGGGATGGGAAAGGGAGTCAAACGGGAGGGAAAGGACCGGGGCGGCAACCACGGTGCACACCAGGACTGGGGAGGGAGGGTGCTCGAGGCGGCGCAGACCCAGGGCGGATCAGGTCCCCGGGAGGGGCCCGGGCGGGAGCGCTGACCTGG